TATCTACAAAGATAGCATATGTTGGTATAAAAAGACATTATCAATACTTTTATCAGGAATGAATATAGATAAATTTGGTTTTAGTATAGAATAGAATAAAGTGTTTGAAATCTTTTGGTAAAAATTTACAATTTCTTTTGCTATTCTAGTTTTTTTTTTTTTCTTAAAATAAAGTATTGAGAATCGTGTGGATAACAATCACTATTTATAAATCAAAAATTTTTATTTGATTTTATCCTAAAAAAGTATTTAAGAATTAATGCAATATATAGTAATCAACAATAAGCAAAAGCAATTTTATTTTATTAACCCACCTTAAAAAATTTATCAGTATTTGCCAAAAATGTATATGGAAAGGGTGGAGTTATAATTTAGAAGCTATAACCTGGAAGATGTAATTAATTATTAGGTATAGTCGTTGGCCAAGGTAAATTAAAATATATAATAACTGGCATAGCTAAAGAACAAGAAAAATAATAATTTTCTTATGACAATTTAATTAAAAAAAAAAAAAAAAAGCAAATACTTATTAGGCAGTAATAAATTTTAATACAGTCAACCCTTGCTATAGTCACCCCTGCTATAGTCACAATATGTTTATAGTCACATTATTATTAGGTCCCAACTTACTATAAAATATAAAAAATTTACCCTCTTTATAAGCACAACCTTATTATAATCACATTTTTTGAAGGGCCCGAAGGTGTGATTATAACGAGGGTTGACTGTATATGAAGGATAACTAAAATAGTAGTCTATTAAAAACAACATTGTTGCTCTGATAATAAATTATTATTTTAATAATTTATTTAATTCTGAAAGCCCACAAGATAGGTTGCACCTTTTAACATAGATATATTATTTGATTAAGTGCTCCTCTATATACATTTTTGGTTTTGATATAAATTATGTATTATTAATCTAAATCACTAATAAGATCATTGATATCAAAATCCTTATTTTCATGTATAACCTCTTCATTTAAACTTGAAGATTCGTTAAGCTCTAAATTGAAAGACAAAATGATTAAATTTCTAACTTTTAAGTTTGTCGAATCTTCATTGACTAAATCTTTTAGTTCAAATTCATCTTCCTTTGTATTTTCTTCTACAAACTCATCTAAAAAAGAAAATGATTCTTCTTTACTAAATAAATCAGTCCCATTCTCTATAGAATATACAATTTTATTGAAAATATGTAATAGGTCTTCTTGGCGAAGCTTTTGATTCATGTAATTGAGTTCTAATTTAGCATTCTCAACTAAAAATGAATGCATCTGAGCCATAATCTCTAGACGTTCAATGCTTAATCTAAAAAAAAAAATTAAAATAAAAAAAATTTATATACATATGGGGGTGAGTCAATAGATGAGGGACAAATCATTTTTAGTAATTT